CATAAACATATACTACCTCCGTAACATAAAGATCTTCCCATTTTGACTTTTCACGGTCTTCTAAGTTGAACTTTGACTCTAAATATCTACATATCTATATTTATAAAATTCATAATAAATTAACATTCAAATAATATGTTTTACAATGAGGTATATAAAATAAATTTTTAATCATAACATAATGTGAGTTTTGAATAATTAATGGTCAAAGTTTATAAAGTATGACCCAAAAGAGTCAAACTGGGAAGATTCCAGAGTTACGGAGGTAGTATAATGTAATGCTACACGTTGAAAACTTCTTTGAACACAACATTCTGAGTCACATCTGTGGCCCCTTCATCTTCATCACAAATTAAAATTTTCAAACCACGACGATCGGTAACCCTTGACACCGCAACATAAAATTGTCCGTGAGTGAATACAGGTTTTTTAACAACAATCCACGCGAGACAAAGATTGGCCTTGACATTTATTTATAGTCATAGCATAGGAAGTCACAATAATGTCGTCTCTGAAACCTGAACGGTAAGTTAGCATTAGAGGGGGTCAAGGATAACCTCGGAATTAATACCTTTTGTCCGACACTGACACCCGTTTATTTATACATATGTTTTTCTTTATACTTATAATTTAAAATGATAAAAATACTCCCTCCGTATTCAAAAATTTGCTACATTTTCCCTTTTTGGTAAATATTTTCTTTAAAAATACTCAACTACACTTAATTTTTCTACTTTTTATATTCTCTTTCATACTTTTTCACTATCTCTCCTTCTTTTTCTACACTATTCATTACCCATGCTATTTCACTCTTAAAACATTTGTCAACACCTATGGTAGCAAACAAAAAAATACGGAGGGAGTAAAAAAATGTTAAAAAAGGTTTTAAAATATGAGTATTATACTTCTTCTATCCAAATATGATTGTTCTTTCCCTTTTTATCTATTCCAATAAGACTCCAAATAAGACTTTCCCAATAATGTTTGCATTTCTTTATTTTTACTTTTATTAATTCAATATTAAACACATAAATTCACTTTTCTAAAATTGTTTGGAGTATTTCATATAGAATACTATTTAGATCATACTTATATTTATTCTATGACTGATTCAACAATAACACTGCCTTACTTCTATTTGGAACTATCTTAAAGTTCTAACAAAATGCAAAATCATAAACTCATCTTGGATATACAATTGATACACAAATTTTATACTCGTATATTAAAAGAGATGTTATGATGAATAAGAATAGCATCACAATGATGTAATGAACTAAAGAATCAAATCAACCATTTGAGCATCAAAAGCAGGATCTTCCATCAGAAAATGGCTGACTCCTTCAAGGAGATGCGTTTGGTTACTCTCACCCGCAGCTTTCTTCAGCTTCTTCTCCAATTGCCCCACACTGGTGAACCCATCTTTGGTCCCCATCACAAAGAGCTTCGGCTTTAGGGATGGCAATACGGCTTTTTGGTGCCCTCCAAACAGAACCGAAGCGGTGAATCCGAAAGGGTACCCTAAGCTGACGTAGCCCACTACTTCCTCCACCTTATCAAATGCGGCTTCAGCGGTGGATCCTACAACGACGATGCGGCTCGCGGAGAGGTTACCGACGACCCACTTGCAGATGGAAACGACGTCGTTGACCTCGGCAGATTCGGTGAGGGAAGCGCAGCCGGTGGATCTTCCGGCTCCGCAGGTGTCGAATGTGATAGATGTCAGTCCTGCTTTGGTCAATTTCCCGAAACAATGACCGCATGCCAACCATGTTTAGATATTTTTTTATTGCTATGGGGTATCATAGCGGGACTTGAGAACGATGAAGAAAAATGGTATCTGAAGCTGCGCTTTTATGGGCCAACATGTACGTGTGATTTACAAAAAAACTGCTTGCCCTATACCTCGCACTGTTTGCCCGCCCCTTTCTACCAATACAAAGCCAACCGGCCAAATCAGGTCACAAAGTTTATGTACAGTAGCCACCACAATATTAACCAATAGGAGGCCTGAATTCATTTGGTTACCAACCCACCTCAATTCTCAGCCAATAGGATTGTCTTTCCCAGAAAAAATCAATTTTTATCCGAACCCATAACTTCCAATTCATTAGCTGGATTTATTATCTCTTAAAGGAATTAAAAAATTAACACATGGAAGTTGACGGTTCTGGGCGGGAATAATGTCCATCGAATTTCTTTTCCTTTTAGATAAGGATAGATTTAGGTTCACTGAAATTTCACTTAATAATTTTAGGGCTTTCAAAAATTTGACCTTCCGGATATACGGAGTAGTATCAATAATTCTAAAAACTATCAATCTCAAATTCTCAATGAACCTTACAAAAATATAATTTCGAGAGTTATATTTTTTAAACGTAATGAAATGACTGTAGCTGAAGATGTGTGTATCTGTCTGTGAACTCAAAAAATTTTAAATAATTACTTGTGTAGTAAACTTTAAGTTTCCGGTGAGCTTTATCATTTGTAGAAAGTAAAATTTGTATGGTTTACTTTATTCTTGCTCTAATATACTTAATAATTTATGGACTTGTGTACTGTTGTCATTCTGTAGATTTGTTTGTAATACATTTTTATATTTTTTTAAATCTTCCATATAAATTTTGAAATAGATTACTTGACAAATCACTACAATAGTGTCTTTCATAAGTTCATATATCTATCGTAAATAATTGATTTGGCACATTCAAAAGTAAATATTGTCCTTCATCGAATGTCAATTTAGATGCAGAACTGAAGTTTCTTTAATATATGATTTTTAAACTTCATTTGTTTTTTATCCAAAAACTCCAAACTTGATTTTTTTGAACTGTTTCATCTATTTATAATTCTGTACAAATGACCCATCTTCAACAAATTTCTTGTACCTTATTGTGCTTGTATTGTTCTTACCTGAAAAGATCATATGAAATATTATACAAATAGGTGAAACTAAACGTAATAGATACCAAACATATTGAGGAACTATAGTTCTTTGCATAAATACACACTTTTGACTTGTTGAGAAACTAAAGAATTTACACTCACTCTCTTGCTGCAGATGATTTGTGAGGAACAATTTGCCACAAATAGGAGGAGTTATTTATATTGGTGTTGTGAAGGAGTAATGCAGGGAAAATGCGAGCCAGTTGGTTTCCATACTGCACAGTAGATTGTCAGGGAAAAATATTTGTTTTGATATTGAAGATATTGAAGATATACTACGTATCTTCGAATGAGATACATTAAATCGGAATCACTATGCCCACCTCCACTATTGACCAATAGAAATTTTTCAATCCAAAAGTTGTTGAGTCGCCCAAATAGTGTCAATAGTCCTCACCTCCCATATCAACCAATAGGAATTTTTTTAGAACAAAAAAAGTAATGGTTTGCAACTCAATTATTTCACATTATTTAGTTTTTATTTATCTTAACAAAAAATAAATAGTATCAATAGTGCTCACCTCCCACATCAACCAATAGGAACCGACGAATACCAAAATTGTCTAAAAACGTGACCTCCAATAGTTTTTGCAAATATTTAATTTTCATTTATTTTCTAAAATAACCAAATGAACCATTGATGTTGACAGTTTTCAGCGGGAATACTATTCACAAAAAAACTTTGCTTTTATATTAGAATAGATTTATTATTTATTTATGTGTTTACTACGGAGTAAATTTGTGATGGGTATATTTCTGTTATTGATTAGCTAGCTAGTAAGTCTGTTTAAAATAAAGAAATGCTTTCAGATCTAATATTGAATCTTGTTATACTCCTTATAATTTGCTCATGTGCCCCTCTAATATTTACTAATTTAGTTGAATCAATTCTACTAAGCTATCCTCCGTTAGCTCCGTCTCTCTTCTTCCTTGTCAATTTCCATTTCTTATCCCCGTTTCCCTTCAAGTTCACGATTTTGTTGTATCATGCTACTGGTGGGAAAGACACGTAAAAGTCACCCTTTTTCTTTTATGACAGAAATGGAAGATACATCCAAACTTTATTGACAGCAAATAAGAGAGTTAGTATGGATGGACAGATTATTGGAGCTTTCTGTTTGTTGCAGATCTCTTCTTGTTCTGAAGAGAAGGAAGAAGATATCAGAATCCAGAGGGATAAGTAAGAAAGTAATGACAGATCGTTCTTTAAGAAAAATGAGATGGCGTATATCTGTCAAGAAATTTGACCGGATATCAAAAGCAGTTCCTGAAGACTAGTGCTGCTTGCGTGAAGCAGTTGTTAAAGGTTTTTAGGGATTACATTGTTGTTCTGGAAAACATTGAAGATGGGTAATTTTCTGTTATTAATTAGCTAGCTAGTAAATCTGTTCAAAGTAATGAAACGCTTTCAGCTGTGATCTGACTTCTACGATTTCTACTTAAATTTTGTGTGCTGCTTTTATAAATTATAACACAATTCACTGCAGCTACAGTGAGAAGAGTTTTGTATTGGAAGTGAACATTGAAGATGGGTAATTTTCTGTTATTGATTAGCTAGCTAATAAATCTGTTCAAAATAATGAAACGCTTTCAGCTGTGATCTGATTTCTACGATTTCTACTTAAATTTTGTGTGCTGCTTTTATAAATTATAACACAGTTCACACTAGTGGAAAAATGACTTTTTATATCGGTTAAAATAGACTTTTTATGTCGGTTCTCGACCCGACATAGATCCCGCCGACATTAAAAGTAAGGCACCTTTCATATGGGGGCAGGGAACCGTTATTAAAAGTTTTTTATATCGATTGTTTTTAGACCCGTTATGGAATGTAATACAGTTTCAACATGGGTCAAAAAAAGTAACCGTTATTGAATATCAACTTTTTAAGCTTACAAAAAGCCATTCAAATATGCTTTATATACTGGCATACTGCTTTTGTCTAATAACTTAAACGTTATATTTTTCTTGGACTATAACATCCATTGGAATTCAACATCAACAAAAATGGGCAACATTCAAAAGAATCGTATCAATTGCATAAATCATACTCCGTACGAAGTAAAAATACAATATTCCCATAATCCCTCATATTCTACCACTAGTATTCAACATATACTTTTATTACAGATAGTTGAAGACATGATGCTAATAACATCCAATAAAAATACTATAACAGACGATGCCCACTGCTCTCACGTCTTGTCAGCATCATCACGTTGAGTGAAAAGATCTTGAACATTTAATACCTGCAAAATAAACAAAAAAAAGGAAAGCATAGGTAAAACATGTAAAACTGCTCAATTAGAAATAGTAGCAGCTACTCCGTAAAGTAAAAGGAAATACATAAGTAAAAAAGTTATCACCAACGTGAAAGAATCAATATGTGGATAGATAATTGCAAATTAGCAACCATATGTCTAATAACATAGCACCCAAATTCAAACATTCACATTACAGTTTAGTTTCCGCATTTTAATGAATTTGTAGGGCTCTAGTGAAATAGAAGGAAACAAACTAGTCATTTTTATTGATTTTGAAGTTGTAACAACAGTTGACCAATTTAACTACTTAAATTGTATGTTATGTATCCATAACTGTCAAATCTTGTCATCATTTCATCTTAACTAATGTCTAAAACATGAAGGCTCAAAACTAATGAGCTGAAACGAGCACATAGTATTATTGATAAAACTATGTCTATGTCATAAACCTGTTCAAAATTATACGAAGTAATAAACTGCTACACTATTCAAAGTACTTTTTAGGGCAAATTTAACCAACCAAACTAACTGATTTGTCTAGCAACCTATGCTCTAGAAATAATAGATGTCTTTATATCAACACTAAAGAGAACAATACACATATCCTAACATCATTTCTCATCTCTACAGCAGCTCAATTATTTGTTACTTGACAAGTTTCACGCCATATCCTCATTTCATATAATCCCTTGGCAGCATAGCTTTTTTTATAGAACAAAATAAATAAAGCTTTTGTTTTTTACATGGGAATGAATCTGGTTTGATACACTTCATTCCTAAAATAAGTTATAGGTTTTGGTTTTTATACCTGGGAAAGAATCTATTTGTCTTCTAAACAATTCACACACATATTCAAAGGGAGCTTTGGTTCTACCTCCTGCAATGAAAAAATCACACCAGTGACTATAACTTATTTTGTTTGTAAAACATCCAAATCATTACATAAGGTCAATGATGTTATTAAAAAGGAGTTAATGTTCCTTTTTCTCTAGTAATAACTTGATATTTCTTTCTTTGGGTGGGGAATAATACAAACAAGTTTTATTGGAGCCAAACTTGTATGAAAATAATCAACTCTTCGTTTACCCCCCTTAATGTAAAAAAACTCAGATTTTGAAGCCACACTTGTATGAAAATCTAAGGCTTTTCCAGAAATATATTAGTACATACTATAAAAGAAGGTACTAATAAAAATTTCACACCATCTATCTTCAAAGCAAAATGATAGGCCCAAAACAAAAACATGTACAAAATAGAACCGTATGTTCACTTTTTAAATATCAAATATCTAATATCTAATATGTGTGTATGTGTTTGGCAACAAAACGTTTAGGTGAACACACAAGAGGTTTCAAACTATCTAGATTAATCCTTAAGGATAAAAAAGTAGGTTGGACTGTAGGAGAATCCCTTCTTTTTACCCTTGTTTTGGACAACTGATGTCATCTCCCCATTATCACTGTTTCTCCATCTTTAGAATAGCTTCCATCTAACTGCTATTAACAAAAACGATGTAAGCAGTATTAAAAAACAATAAATGACCATTGTAGCTGACAATTAAGTTAATTTACTCTGTAGACTAGAACTATTCCAATATATATTGTGCAGAAAATTGAAGGATTTTGAAATTATTGTGCTGAAAATAATGAGTGCTTCGTTAGATATACACAAACATAGTAAAGAGTCGTAATTGTACCTAGATATGGTGGAGGATGGCGGACTCGCGATAGAATATGGAGCGGTTGTAGGTGATGAAAATCCGGCGGCGAAGGACATATGCGCGAATAGTGAAATAGAGCACCATGGAAGAGCAGCGATGATGGAGCGGCGAAGGTGGAGTGGCTGAGGTGGAGCGGCGGAGGTGGAGCGGCAGAGGTGGAGCGGCGATGGTGGAGCGGCTGTCTTTAGTCGATTAGGGTTAATATTTGGTACTCCGTATATAGCTGCTCTGAAGTGATGTTGGTCTGGACAAATACTCCGTAAAATTTACTCCCCAACACTTTCTATGAGGGTCTAATATGAACGGACATAGAAGAGTATTTTTCAAATTCATGAAAAAGACCCCGAATCAAATCTCATTTTAAGAAAATTGTAAATATAACCCCATTTTGGCTTTCTATGTCAGCTTTTCCAGCAACCGTTATAAATGAAATTTTTAATCTTCAACTACTACGTACAAAAGTGACATGAATGTTTCATTATTTATGAATTAGACTCCGCGCCTTCATACCATAACGGTTCTTTTCTAACCCATACGAATCGTTAGTTATAGAACATGTATTTTGCACTAGTGTCACTGCAGCTAGAGTGAGAAGAGTTTTGTATTGTAAGTGTTATAGATGTAGTTGTGAGCCAATAATGCTCTTTGTAAGGATCGTATATCCGTCTCCGGCTCAGCTCTTTCAACACACACTCTCACACACCACACTAAGAGGAAGCTATAGCACACCCAAATATTACTCTCCACTAAGGACCTATCTATTCTCACACAAAGGAGGAAGAAAGGGAGCTCTGCAGTCTGGGATACAACACTCACGCAGGCTGCTCAACAAGGGAAGAAGCAGAGGATACAAATAGGTTGCCAAAGGGAGTCACGGGTGAGGTCAAAACAAAAGACACTCACATGCTACTTAGACAAGGAAAGTCACATGTTAAGCCAAGACAAAGATGGATGCAGCGGACAGCACACAAAGGGGGCCAGCCAAGTGGGTAAGTCAACCACTCAAACTAGGTATATATTTGATCAGGATATATACCAAAGAAAAGGTATCCAAGGGAGAGTAAAAATAGAGTGTGCAAGCCTCAACAAATAAAGTGGAAGGGAGGCCTTGGTAGGACCAATACCTCCAACATTCTCCACCTTATTGGTCCTAGGTGGTGTAGAGTAACAATACAAAGTTGTGATAAGACTCATCATCGCCGGGTCACCCGGAATATCAAAAGACACAACGGGCAAACACTTAATTAGGCAACCCACAGTTATCCACAGTCAAAGTTTAACACGCGTTTACAGGACAAGTGCTTCTCAGCAGAAAGACACTTGGTACCCATATCCGCGGGGTTAAACTCCGACGGGATCTTGCACAGCTTGACTCCACCTGCATCAACAATATCACGTATGAAATGGAACCTAACATCAATATGCTTAGTTCTATCATGAAATACAGGATTTTTGCAAAGTTGGATAGCCGATTGGCTATCTGAGAAAATGGTAACTCCCTTTTTGAGAAACCCAATTTCGGAGACAAGGCGTTTGAGCCAGATGGCTTCCTTAAACGCTTCTGTGGCTGCAACATACTCGGACTCAGTGGTAGAAAGGGCCACAATAGGCTGTAGTTGAGACTTCCAACTAATGCAAGAGCCACACAAAGTAAAAACATAAGAAGTGGTCGACTTCCTGTTATCTCTATCATTTGCATAGTTAGAATCAACATAACCAATCAATTCAATACCACTAGCACATTTAGAGAAAATTAATCCATGCTTCACAGTAGAAATCAGATATCTAAGCAACCACTTAAGAGCATTCCAATGGGGCAAACCAGGGTTGGACATATATCTACTCAAGCAACTAACCGCATATGCAATATCAAGTCTAGTGCTAACCATAAGATACATCACCGACCCTATTGCACTGGAATAAGGCACAGATTTCATTTTCTCAATTTCAGGAGCAGTCTTGGGAGACTGATCCTTACTTAACACAAAGTGAGATGCCATAGCGGGATATTAACAGGAGAAGCAGATAACATATTAAATTTACTCAAAACTTTTTCTATGTAAGAAATCTGATTCAAAGTGAGAGTACGCTTACTCCTATCCCTAACAATGTTTATGCCTAGGATCCTCTTGGCATCACCTAGGTCTTTCATGGCAAAATTCGCACAAAGACATTTTTGCACATCTTTAATAGCATTCAGAGAAGGACTAATTATCAGCATGTCATCCACATAGAGTAACAAAAATACAGGCACAGAAGAAGTATTTTTGAAATACAGGCAATGATCACAAATAGATTTTTTGAACTTCAAATATATCATGCATTTATCAAATTTGATGTTCCACTACCTAGGGGATTGCTTCAGGCCATACAAATCCTTCCTAAGCAAACATACATTCTCACTTCTCTTGGGATCCACAAAGCCCTCAGGCTGGGTCATATAAATTGTTTTATCCAATTCACCATGCAAAAATGCAGTAGTTACATCCATTTGTTTCATTTCCCAGTCATGGTGAGCAACTAAAGCAAGCATCATACGAATAGTGGTGAATTTAACAACAGGAGCAAAGATTTCTGCATAATCTACCCCCTCTTTTTGAGTAAACCCCTTCGCAACCAACCTAGCCTTAAACCTAACATCACTAGGTTCTTCCTTAACCTTAAACAACCACTTACACTCAACTACCGAACAGTTGAGGGGTCTAGGTACAAGGGTCCAAGTCTGGTTCACTCTCAAAGAGTCCATCTCACTTTTCATGGCACTAATCCATTTCTGAGACTCTTTGGAACCTGAGGCTTCACGGTAGGTCTTGGGTTCATTCAGCTCTAGGGATTCAAACACAGAAAATGCAAACATAGAAGTATCATGCACAATGAAAGCATAATCAGGCATACTATCAGCAGTTCTCCTGATAGCCCTTCTACTCCTATCTCTAGCAAGTTGATAATCATGCAAATTATCACTACTAGCCTCCACATGCAACTCATGCAAATTATTGTTATCATGAAAATCAGATTCAGCACCCATATCATGCAAATCATGCTCAGTATCATGCAAATGCTCCACCTCACTCGAGGTGGTGGGACTATCATGCTCAGAGGAATCAGAATCATGCATAACAATATCATCAGAAATAACAGGATCAACAGATAAAGGACTAGCAGCAACAGGGACAGACTCCACCTCACTAGGAGTACTATCAGACCTAGACTCAGGATTAGAAACAGACTCGGTCAAGCAAGGAAAATCAGTTTCATTAAACACCACATTTCTGCTAAGGACCACTTTAAAGCCTACCTGGTTCCTATCCCATAACCTGTAACCCTTTACCCCCTCTGGATAACCTAGGAAGACACGTTTCTTAGACCTAGGATCCAACTTGTCACCCTGTTGATGTGCATACGCTGCACAACCAAACACCCGAAGGTTAGACAGATCAAGAGGCTTACCGGTAAAGACGGCTTCAGGACACTTACCACCAAGAGAGACAGACAGGGACCTATTAACCAAATAGGCAGCAGTAGTGACTGCTTCACCCCAGAATTTCTTAGACAAACCAGAGGTAGCTAACATGCTTCTAACCTTATCCAACAGAGACCTATTCATTCTCTCAGCTATCCCATTCTGTTGGGGAGTATAAGGCACAGTTTTGTGCCTTTTAATCCCACAATCCACACACAGCTTATCCATCTCCTTATTACAGAACTCTAACCCGTTATCAGTCCTAAGGGTTTTAACCTTCCTGCCAGTTTGGTTTTCAATTAGGGTTTTCCACTCCCTAAACCTCACAAACACATCAGACTTGTGTTCTAAAAGGCAAACTCACACCTTCCTAGAAAAGTCATCAATAATAGAAAGGAAATATTTCCTACCCCCGTGGGTAGGAACACTGGCAGGACCCCAAACATCGGCATGAACATATTCAAGAACAGACGAACACTTAGACAGATTAGGGTAAGAGGAAGGAGGGAAGCTGACTCTATGCTGCTTGCCTAACACACATGATTCACAGAAAGGCACAGAAGTCACAGAGTCCTTACCAAAATAACCAGCCCTACGCATGACATCTAAACCCTTATTGCTCATATGTCCTAGCCTATTATGCCCCAAAGAGGTCTTATCAGAACATACAACATTCACAGATTCAGCAAAAGGTTTAGCATGACACACATAAAGGTTATTCACCTTCTCAGCTTTAAACAAAACAAGCGAGTTTTTCAGGATTTTCATACAACCATTCCCCCATTTTCCCTGTAACCCACTACTCTCCAAAGCAGCAACAGATAACAAGTTATGACACAAATCAGGGACATGCCTCACATTCTTAATGGTAAACACAGAGCCACAAGAAAACTTCAGACATATATCACCAACACCAAGCACATTGCATCTCTTATTATCAGCTAAGGAAATGTAGCCACTATCACATAATTCATAAGTAGAAAACAAATCTCTAAAGGGGGACATGTGATAGGTACAACCAGAGTCAATCAACCATTCATGCTCAGACAGGGAATTTCTCACAGAATTAACATGGTCACAAACCATCAAGATATCACCAAGGTCACATTTATCAACAGCTACACTAGCATGCTCGGTCTTCTTAGGATGGGGGCAATCTTTAATGAAATGGCCAGTGTTACCACAATTGTAACACACTCTCTTCCTAGATTTACTCCTCTTCCTCCCAGGCTGACTAGTGTTCTTACCCTGACTATTTTGCTTAGAGTTCTTAGACCTACCCTTAGATCTACCCCTAACAAACATAGCCTCACCGGAGTCCCTGGACTGACTAGCACTACCCCTAGCATGCTTCAGGTCTAATTCCTTACTCCTTAACCCATTCACAACAATATCTAACGAAATCTCATCCCTACCATACTTAATAGCGGACTTAACATCATTATAAGAGTCGGGAATGGCATTAAGTAATACTATGGGAGTATAATCATCTATGTGTTTATCACCTGCCTGTTTGATATTCTGTATCAGTTTATTAAACACATCCAGGTTCTCATCTATATCCTTAGTCAGGTCAAGCCTAAGCCTAAAGAATTTCTCTAGTAAGAACAACTTCCCGGGCAAAGAGGTATTAGTATAGAGACTATCCAATTTCTCCCACAACTCCTTAGCGGACTCAAGAATACCCACTTTCCTAAGCACAGAATCAGACAGATTCAAGTAAATAGTAGAACAAGCAGTTTCGTTCATTTCAGTTTGCTTAGCCTTATCTTCTGATTCAAGGAAAATACCAGTGACAGCTCTGAAAACTTTTTGCTGTATTAACACACACTTAATTTTCTGTTTCCAAATATCAAAATCTGTTTTTCCATTAAATGGAAGCATACCATACTGATTCGCAGCCATGGTATCAACCACAAAGGAACACAAAGCTAAACAGACAGAATTGACAGAAAACAATCCAACCCGGGCTATAAAGTATTCACTTTAATAACCCCGGGCAGCATGCAACACATAGCAAAAATGGACATTTTGGCAATTAAACAATTCCGGGCAGAAAATTAAAATTAATTAATTCTACCCCTACCACCCAATAAACCACCCCTACGCATAACAAATAAATTAAATAACACTTAGTAATTTAATTAATTAGCTAAAACAATCAACCACAAAGGAGAGGGTTTAGAACGTACCTGGGGGGTTGGCGTCCGGGATTAAATCAACCGGCGGCCCGCGGGGAGGGGGAATAAATTAAATTAAATTAAAACCAGAATATTACAAATAGGAAGTTTAAAGAAAACTTACCTTCGCGAAACCCTAGGAGAGCGTTTCGACCTTACCTACCCAATTTAAAAAAATTGGGATTTTTCTGAGAAGTTGACTGACTGTTGACCGGCGTTGACTGCCGTTGACCGGAGGTTGACCGGCGTTGACCAGTTGACCCAGTCCAGCAGTCTAAGTCCTAGCAACAAAACAGTGGCCCAGCTCCCAGCTCTTCAACAATTCACCAGGTCCAGCGGCCCAGAGAAGGAAGGCCCAAATTGTTGAAAACCCAGCCAGACTTCTCCAGCCCAGCAGCAAAGTCCAGCAACCTTATCGTATCAAGCTAGCCAGGAGCTTACTTGCGTATCATCTACGCTAGGCCGCGTCGATGAACAGTACTCGTCCGCTTCAGTTCTCCTCTAGCGACCAGCGACGAACGAAGGTCGGCGAGCACCAAGGCGACCGGCGACTCCAGCGATGACTTCCGGCTGGCAACTTCCCTGCGGCTTCTAGCTCCAGCGACGAGTTTCGGCGAGCTTCCCTGCGACGAGGATGGGAACCAACCTCCGGCGATGGGTTCCAGGCGGACGGCGAGCTTCGTTCCCAGCAGTGAGCGACCACCGTCAGTCACTCTCAGGCGACGGCGGTCAGAGGCTTCTGCGGTGGATTTGAAAGCGGATCTTTCAGGTGCCGGCAGAACCAGATTCGGGGTGAACGGGAAGCAACGGCACCAAGCAAAGCTTCAGCGAACGACCGGTGACCTCCAAGACCTCGAATCGATGCCCGGCGGCGGACGGCGGAACCGGCTCTGATACCACTGTAAGGATCGTATATCCGTCTCCGGCTCAGGTCTTTCAACACACACTCTCACACACCACACTAAGAGGAAGCTATAGCACACCAAAATATTACTCTCCACTAAGGACCTATCTATTCTCACACAAAGGAGGAAGAAAAGGAGCTCTGCAGTCTGGGATACAACACTCACGCAGGCTGCTCAACAAGGGAAGAAGCAGAGGATACAAATAGGCTGCCAAAGGGAGTCACGGGTGAGGTCAAAACAAAAGACACTCACATGCTACTTAGACAAGGAAAGTCACATGTTAAGCCAAGACAAAGATGGATGCAGCGGACAACACACAAAGGGGGCCAGCCAAGTGGGTAAGTCAACCACTCAAACTAGGTATATATTTGATCAGGATATATACCAAAGAAAGGTATCCAAGGGAGAGTAAAAATAGAGTGTGCAAGCCTCAACAAATAAAGTGGAAGGGAGGCCTTGGTAGGACCAATACCTCCAACACTCTTGATGAGAGAAAGAGGTCTGAAACTTATTCACGAAATTCCTGGAATCATTTTAGTGCATGGCGATCGATCTAGAATCCAACAGATTCTGGCTGATGTGTTGCTTAACATGGTTCATCATACACCACCTCCAAAAGGGTGGGTACAAATCAATGTGCAAACTGGTTTGAAGCAGATATATGGTGGAGTTACTACAGTGCATATGCATCCCCGTTCTTTTTTAAGTTTAACTTTCATGTTTTTGTGATTGGATTGTCTTCCCCCTTTGTCTAAAAAGTCATGCTTTTGCAAGCAAATGCTATTATTTGATGCAATTGAGTTGAAAAGGACCACTGACAAGTTAAAAAGATAAGCTTCCGAGTACACTGAAAAATGAGGGTGGGATTAAGGAATGATAAGAGGTGTACACTGTAAAAAAGCTGTACCAAGTAATTCTCGAAGTCTAGGGGTATTGGCAAGAAGGTTGTTAAACTCTAGATCCTAGGAGATCGTAACTCGAGGACCGTAACTCGGATCGTAAGATCTTAGAAGTAAAACTACCATGCTACACACACACACTTAAATTTAAGACAATTTAAACACTGATTTAATATTTTAATATTAATAATTAATAATACGGAAATTGTCCTAAATAGGACTAATGAGTTCCTAAAAAGCACAAATAGGACTACTACTTTTAAAATTCCCTAAATAGGACTAAACATTGATTTTCTACCCTAAATACCCCTAAGAGTATTAATTCATAATGAAATGCTTTAATTCATAATAAAATCATAAAAAACGTAAAAAATATTTTAAAAACGTAAAAAAAATTATAAAAAATTTATAAAACATTTATAAAATAAAAAAATTAAATTTTTATTTTTTTAATTTTTTTAAAAAAATAATAAAAAATAGTAAAAACCCATAAAAAATGAAAAAAAATATGG